TTCGAATCATTAATAATCAATTTTAGTACTGTCCATTCTTGAGTCATAATGTCCAGCTGGGGTGCTGAATAGAAATGTATGCGACTTAATGCATTGAAACATTCTTTTCCAGCTACTTTTCTTCCCTCCCCCCCTTTCTGTATTCATGAAATTTTTCCTATAAATTACTTAAATAATTATCGCTTCTCTCTTTGGCATTGTAAATCCGTCTAATTATCCCGATTTTTTTATCGCTTCTGGTCTGCTAATGTGCAAAAAAACATTATTTTTATTAAATCAGCCTGCTAACGGATTCCCTTGACCTTGTACACGACCAAACGCTTTACTTCAAAAATTTCAAACTTATATATTTTTCGTCTCCTGGTTTTCCGTTACAAAATCTGTCTAGATTTTGACTCATTCTCGAAGTTCGAGAAGTAAAAACGCCATTAAAGTTAATTCACATTCTGGCTTGCTATAAGATCAGAAGAAACTTCGTTTCTAACATTAAAAACTTCTAACTTTTGAAACCCTACTGTCAATTGAACAGATTTTTTTACTACTTAAACCTCTAACAAATGCAACTCAGTGAAAGCAAACGCTAACAGCAATCATCCGCTGGCAAGGCTGTCGATGGCTTCCTCTTTCAAGGGTTACTTACAAGCAACCTGATGGCGGATTTAACTTCTTGGCATGTGCCAGCACCAATTTATCATTGAAAAAATGAAAAAATCGTAAAGGGATTGGTGAGCCCAATGGCAAGGCGTTAAGTCTGCTAGTTAGATCCATACAGTTCCACTTCGTTAAATCTGTATAGTACAACTTATTTAATTCTACGTTAAGTCAGCTAGTTAAATCCGTACAGTTCTACCTTGTTAAATCAGAATGTTTCAACTCAGGAAAGTCTCAAGTCTGCGTGGAAGTCTCATATTTAACTGAGCGAAACTATACAGATTTAACAGCTGCACGAAATCATACAGATTCAACAGAGTAATTAAAATCCGTACAGACAACGATGCTTCGATCTACTGCAGAAAACCATGCTATTTTTTAGTGTGCCATGCCCAGCGGCATTAATACATCAATGAGACATGAATATTCAAAAAAATAACTATACCTTCATCATAACTGGTCAAACCGGCGGTCCGAAAAAGCATTTTTGTCGTGCTACTGACACCCTGTTCGCTTTTCTGCGACGGTAATGCCAGGTAATGAAGAATACATTCCCAACGTTCGGAGGCCTTCTTGCCCAGATCCTTGTTTGCTGATTTTCGAGTTTTCTCGTCACAATCGGTTACCACGTCAAGTTTTGATGCCCGATACAGGCCCATGCGAATTGCTCGTAGATAAGAATGACGGTATACCGGCTGGAACAAACCGATGCAACAAGATGGGAAGTAATTTCTTCCAGTGAATTAGCGGCGCAGTCAGAATTTTTCGCGAAAAAAAGAAGAAAATTTAATATTTCTGGATGGAAAATTTGCAGAATTTTCCCTAAATTCACCTCTTTTTAACTGGTAGTAACGCAAAGCTCGGTATAGCTCCTTGTCGCAGCCCGGGGCAGGAATTGTTCGAAACTAGGTGAGGAAAAACATATCCAACGAAATGGCTAAGCCTTGTCAAATGCTTTTATCATGACAATCGCTAAACTGGTAATCCTTTCAGGAGACAAAACGAATAAATCATGAGAATCGCTGGTTTGCTTCCGGGCCAACCACGAGATGAAGTGACAACTGTGGAAAAGTTGCCAGATACATCAATGGTGTAGAAATGCACAAAATCTTAGCCAGTCGACGTATAAAAAACTCAAAAATTTGTAAATTGGTAAGTTGAAAAAAAATAATTAACTAAATAAACAAGTCTTTTTTTTTGTTGTAAAAATCAAATTGCTGTAATTTTTGTGGGCGCGGGTGAAATCTAGGCAGAATTTTTCCTCCCAAAACCTAAGAATGATGGCTTTACGCTAATAAGATAGAAAAAAAAAGCTCACATTGAGAAAATTTTCTCCATCATCATCGATAATTCGTAACTGCTTTAACTGACCAATGAGATCGACCAATTTTGACTCGTAATCAGAAGCAGTCCAGGTTCGCCATTCACTGAAACAGAATAGTTTCAATTTCAGTAAAATTTTTTAGCAGTAATAGCACTGTTTGGCAAGTTGCCAAGTCCAAAATCAATATAGAATGCACGATTGATATTTCTGAAAAAGAGACCACAGATAGGAACAGCGCTAACAACGTTCGTGCGTTAAACTAGCAATGTAATAAAGACATTAACGAGACACATATAAAATAAATAAAATACAAAAAAAACTTAAAAATATATAAAAAACATCAAAGATATAAAAATTGGCCAACGCACGGGCTGCCCGTGCGAAGATGCGTTTTTTGCAGAGTTCCCTGCAG